GAAATACAGCATACATTACAGCAAGTGATGAGCATGCAAATCCATCAGAATGTAGCTAAAAGGGGGGATGGGTGTAAGGAGGGGGAGAGGAGAGGAGAGGAGGGGAGGGAAGGGGAGGGGGGACACACTCGGATTATTATGCGATGACTGTACAAAAGGAACCAGTGCAAACATGACCTAGATTACTCACTCCCCATAGTCCATTTATTCGCCACTTTATCCTTACCTCCGCAACAAAAATCCTCAAAAAAAAGAAGGGGAGAGAGAAGATAAAGAAAAAGAGAAAGAGAGAGAGAGATAAAAAAAAACGTATTTTACAATGGATCAAAAACACGAAGATAACACCACCCCCACCCCCTTATCCCCGCTGTTAAACATATCAGATTCACATTAGCACATATGCGTCAGGCACTTCCTCACCTACGCATACGAACGCACACGAGCACACACGGTGACATACATACACGCGCGCGGGCGAAGGTGTTGCAATCACGTTTGCACATTGCTCGTTAAATTTCGCACTTAAAAGCACTCGCATGCATACAGGTGTGGAAAACAGCATATATAAGCGTACTTAAGTGGATATTATATATATATATATATATATATATATATATATATATATATATATATATATACATATACATATACATATACATATACATATACATATACATATATATATATATATATATATATATATATATATATATATATATATATGTAGAAATATATATATATATATATATGTAGAAATATATATATTTATATCATATGTAGAAATATATATGTAGAAATATATATATATATATATATATATATATATATATATATATATATATTTATACATGTGTGTGTGTGTGTGTGTGTGTGTATGTGTGTACATATACATATACACATATATACAAATATATACATATTTATAATTATACTTATATATATAATATATATTATATATATCTGCACACATATACATATTGTATATAAATACGTATTATATACACATATACATATACAAACACACACACATACATATTACACATCTATACATATACATGTAATATATATATATATATATATATATATATATATATATATATATATATATATATATATATATATATATATATATATAATATTATAAATATACACATATATATACATGAATGCATAAATACATACATGCATACATACATACACACGCACACATACATATGTATGCCATATACATACATACATACATACATACATACATACATACATATATATATATATATATATATATATATATATATATATATATATATATGTATACACATATACATACATACATACATACATACACACACACACACACACACACACACACATATATATAGACATGCAGATTTAAGAGACATGTAAGCAAAGACCTTTCCTCATTCGCACGGTTTCGGAATAAAGCAAGAGAAATAAATGCACAAGTATATGGAATAAATAAATATAAAATGAAACGTTACAGAACAAAATACAATAAGAATAAAAGCTTTGGTTAAGCGGACTCGATCGCTTAACCAGCATTAATTATACATGTTGCTTAAAGTGCATGGCTGGGCGGGAGGTAATGGTTTCGGGAGGAAGTGGAGGGACAGAAGGAAAGAGGGAGAGAGGGAGAGGAAGAGGGAGAGGAGAGAGAAGGAGAAGGGAGAAGAGAAGAGAGGGAGGGAGAGATAGGAGGAAGAGGAGAAGGACAGGGTCTATAAAACTAACCTCAACTGACAACTTCCTTCAGCAAGTCGACGATTGGTCCTACCACCAAAATTAACAACAACAAAAACAACAACAGAGCAATATCCACGGGAAATCTTCGCCCACAAATCAATAGCGAGCAACACCAAACCATAACACAACGCCAACCACATACACATACAACCAACAACAAAACCAATATCTCCCCCAATCATAACACAACCCTGAGGAAACACACTCCTTACAAAACTGATCTAAAAAAAAAACACCAACACCCCCCCCCTAACCTTCCAACCACCCATAACACCACCCTCACCCCCCAACCACCCACAACACCACCCTCACCCCCCAACCACCCACAACACCACTCTCACCCACCAGCCCAGTGATTCCCGACCGGGGTTCCGCCGACCATTACAAGGGGTCCCGCGGAAAAAAAAACTGTAAAATAATGATGTTTCTTTGCAAAATGACAGCGGTCCGAATCCACAATTCATAAATCCTACTGACAACACGTCGCAAACACTTTCCAAATACCAGCATACTCCTACGCGTCAGTTAGCACAATGTATAATATACACCAAACAACATATTCTACATAATACTATAAACAGGGGTTCCATGAACCATGAAAAAAATACACGGCTTCCTCCAAGCCTTAAAAGTAAGGAACCACTGTCCCAACCCACCCCCCTCCCACCCCCAACGCCCTCGCCTTCGACACTTACCTCCAACAAATCGATCATCTTGGTCATCTGCGAGTAGATGAGCA